CTGAAGGAGAGATATCAGTGAGGGGTGGCACTGTACTACTCATGAGATGCTAAGATCTGCCATAAGCGCGGCACTGGTGCCAGTGTGCATAGGGATTATCGATCCACACTGCACGGAGAGTGGAATGTGCCCCTGGAAGCAGTCGCAAAGCATGATATGGAAGAAGGGAAAAGATATAAAGAATGTTAAAGGAGAAGAGCTCATATGTCTGTCCCTCTACTGCCTGCATATGCATGGCCAGACCGGGGAGGACCTGAACAATACAGCAGGGGGAAGGGCGGAAATCTAAAGGGAGAAATATAAACAAATGTAATGGAGGTACTCACCTCCATCCATAGACCCTTACTCAGCATTCCCATCCATTCCATAATGACCAGAGAAGTGTAGCAGAATCACAGAGAGGCCCGGGCGGCATGAACAGGAAATATATGGCCGGGTGTCAAAGAAATACTAGTCCAATTGCAATGAAAGGTAGAACCATGCAGTAGATCCTCATACAGTCACAATCACGATGTTAGATATCCGCCTGACACGGATACAATGTGGCATAGACCGATACAAGCTCAGCCTGAGTTCCTGGCCGTCAGCGCATGCACTGCTTGACGAGCATGAGCCTAGGATATTGGTAGTAGACAGTAAGACATGTTCAGATTCCGACAGCGAAGGATCCAAATAATCGGCCCAGTGGAACAGATAGCATGTTCGACGCAAGGGGTGGACAATAATAAAATTTTAGACCGCATGATAGGAAATCCTGCTAAGGCCCTCGAGACCCCCCCCCTCCCCCCTTCATGCGGTCTCGGCTTCTCCCCGTGTCCACCCCTTGGTTCGACGAGAGCAGGTTCAAAGGTGCTGTGATCCAGCCGTGACGGTAAGCATGAATTCGGACAGAATCCGGATGGCACTGTGGCTGTCGCACCCTTCCACGACGTCCCTCTAGAACTCTGATGTCTCGTCTCGCGGGCTACATGGCTCTTTGACCTTCAAATCGTTCTAAGTGTGACGAGAACCTCTGAGGGGCTCTAGCTTGCTCAGTAGCTGGCTTATGCGCTAGGATCATGATGACTCGGACGGTCTGGGGCCCCGGCACGCTGGTATGTTGTTGCAACAATGATGCCGCAGCTTTTCCTTGGCTTCTGTGAGTTTTGGTTATTCAGCAAATCCACTCTCCTCTAATATTGGTCTAACCCATCGCTTGTAGAACAGTGTCTGACTGTTTTGTTTACTTGACATCGGCCGGTCTGCCCCCTCCGGGTCTCGCTGCTGGGTAGCTTCTGCTAACCTATCATCTCCCTTAGCAGTTGTGTCATCTTATCTTTCCCCTCCAATCCTCTCCTCGCATTGCGCCCTGCTGCCACAAGCCCCGACCTCTGTCCAAGACCACCCTATCTACTGTGCTCAAACATTAGTCGGTCTGCCAGACGGCAACAAGCATCGCTTTCATCTCAGGTAAGTATGTCAATGCATATGCATACACATTCTTGACGCTTATTCATTATTTTATATCTTTTTCACCGCTTCTTTCATCCTTCGTCTGGTTTTCATTGCCGGGAGGTTCTGTTAATGCAGCCAGCTTGACAGGACTGTCAGTTGGCAATGCCCTCATGCTGACCGGATAGGATACGATTATAGAGCTGATGTTGATGTAAGTATTCTACCGTTGCTGGGTCCTGCTGCTAACATCTGGTCTGCTGCATGTACACTTAAACCTAGGTGAGTATTCGTGTGTCCGGACATTTTCTATGTCTAAAATAGCCTTAAATGCGATTGAATGCGGAGGAGTAGTATGCTATGAATTTATTGTACTTTTTCGAGGCTGTGGACATGGGCATGTGCCGCCGCCACCGAGGGCAGTAAGCAGGGCAGTCACGACGGTGACGACGTTCAACACACACATATGTAAGTAATGGCACATATATATCAGCTCAATTTTAGGATTTTATTGTATTTAACGAGATTTATTCGGTATTTTTATGACTACATAGAAATGCTACAGCCGTGCTCATCGTCGGCGACGACGACGACGGACCTACAGCGGGCGGCGACGATGCGCCGGAGAGGCGGGACGCAGCGCCGAAGAAGCGCCTCACCTGCGATGCCGACGCTGTCACTTCACACGTGGTAGTCCGCCCTAGGGTTGGGGTCTGCTACCAGACTTCTACCCGGACCGCGGCCGGAAGCGGCAAGAGCACGGCGGTCGACGGGGCAGACAGCGAGGACGGGAGTCGGGCAGAGAAGAGGACGAGCCTTATTATACTAGCGTAGACGCTGACGTGTCCTGTATGT